AACAGGAGTTTCTGTTTCCTGTACACGGCCGGACTGACAGGAAGTGCACACTCAGTGTGCACCTTCCTATCACTCCGGCCGGGCACCGCGGACAGGAGTGGAGCTCGGCCACGCTACAGGGAAGGGGAGGGGAGGAGAGAAGCAACTGCAGCCGCCTGAGGCTCTTAACAGAGCGCTTAGGCGGCTGCAGCATTTAAAGGGCCAGCCCTGCAGCGGCCGGTCTTAAAAGAATTTAGGGCGGTCTGGGAGAGATTAAAGGAGCGTGTGTATTTACACACACATACATACATACATACATACATACATACATGTTTTATAACTACTACCTTTGTCCCTGGCCCACTATGTGCCCCCCTAAAAATGAATCCTAGAGATGCCACTGATTATAGATGATGCTGGGAGAGATACCCAGAGCTTCCATACATTTACCTTATAGTCAGTGCTATCAGCTCTAGGTAAAACCATAATTATTACAGTATTTACTGATCTAAACATGCTGCTCGCTATTCAGACTGTTACTATTGTTATCAGGTTAAAATGAGACTGTATTGTGTTATTTTTATGTCTTAAACGTCAGCATTTATATTATTTATGAATATCAGACACTGCACTGCAAATGTTTGTGTTCATCAATTCCCATGAAATGCAGCAATGTATTACTAACATACTAAATGTAAATTAATTGATCATTTGAAGAACTATTTGCCTGTTGGCAATGCTAGCAGCCAGCAAGCAAATAGTTATAAACTCTTGGCAATCCGTGGATTAATTATCAGGCTTGCTAGCCAGCTGCAAAATAATAATAATAAAAAATAATAATAAAGAAATAAACCTTATTAAAGTCCATAAGACCCCCATATTATATGACTGCCATGTGGCAGGTAGGGGGCATATCTACTAAATGAATAAAACTAGCGACTGGGCAGCCATTGTAATATGAGAAGGGGAGACATAGTCCAACCATTGGGTCCAGGATGGGGAACTTTAAATAATGTGGTATGAACAGATCACTTTCCACCCCTCTGCTCAGCTGTGGCCAGCGGGTGGGGGCTATTATATTTAAATAAAGTCATTATCCATCTCCCCCATACTCCTGGGCTGCTAGGGATCCCTAAACCCCTAGACTCCTCGCTTAAATTAAATAAACCTTACCTCACCACTAACCCTAATAATTGTGAGGGCAGCCATTAAAATAAATATCTGTGAAATAAAAAATACACATACCATCTGAAGTCTTCTTTTTTCTGCATCATCTTATCTTTAAACCCGAAAAGGCCAAATTCAGCTTAATTCCATTGCTCCTCTCCCAGTGTGATTTCTAGCTTTATTTATGTTTGGTCCTAGGATTGGGCTTGTCCAGGAGAATACAGGCGAGATGACTCTTAGAGTTTTTGGCATAGTCTGTACAGAAAGATAGGAAATGAGCTTTAAAAGTTGTGATAAGTCTTAAGTCCATCATATTCCCAAATATTTCATCTTTGTCTGGCACCAGCGATACAGGAAAGAACTGGAGTTGTGGCATAGCTCACCACGGCCCACAAACATTTAGAATTTGATTTATCGTTAAGTTGGATACATTGACAAAGTTTTAGAATTCAGCCACCAGTGCATGATAAGAGAAAAGGTAAAGAAAAGTAAACAGGAGATAATCTGTGTCAGCAAAATTTAATGTTGATTTGAGCGCACCTTCATGCCTCGCTCATCTACGATATAGTGAATCTGACAAAGAAAGGCTCCAGTGTAAAATCAAACAGGAGAGGAAACAAAGATC